TGGAACCACTGATTGATTCAAAATTGAGAAAGGAGTTCGGCAAGGCTCTATATTGTCACTCTGCCTATTTAACTTACACGCAGAGCATATCATGAGAAAGGTGGGGCTAGATGAATCACAAGTTGGAATTAAGATTGCTGGGAGAAATATCAACAACCTCAGATATGCAGATAATACCACTCTCATGGCAGAAAGTGAAGAGGAGCTAAAGAGCCTCTTGATGCAGGTGAAGGAGGAGAGTGCAAAAGTTGGCTTGAAACTCAACATTAAGAAAACTAAGATCATGGCATCCGGTCCTCTCACTTCCTGGCAAATAGATGGGGAATAAATGGAGGTAGGGACAGATTTTATTTTCCTGGGCTCCCAGATCACAGCAGATGGGGACTGCAGCCAAGAAATTAAAAGACGCTTGCTCCTGAGGAGGAGACATCACGCTGCCAACAAAAGTGCATATAGTCAAGGCTATGGTTTTCCCCGTTGCAATGTATGGCTGTGAAAGCTGGGCCATAAGGAAGGCTGAGCTGCTTATCATTGCTTTCCTCCATATGTCAAGGTTCAGTGTGGCTTTTCATTTACACTGCTAGAAGTCCACACATTTAATAACTGAAAGTATCCTCATTAGCTATGTTTTCTGGGTGTATGAGTGGATCTTAGTGATGAATGAGAATTTTGTTTTTGTATGCAAAACTTGGAAGCATGCATGTTCAAAGCTCCAAATGTTAAGTGTGAACATGTGACCATTAAAAATATTTGTATCTTTGAATATGTTTTGTGAATTTCCCATCAGTCCTACCTTAATTTATGGAGAAAATTTGAACAAATTAAGAAATCTGTGCACATATCAGGAGATTTGTACCAATCTCTGGTTCAATTGAATCTTAATTTAGTGATCAGAAATGCAGAAAGGAATTGAGCAGAAGACATGATGTTTAAGGGCTCTTGGTGATCTTGAACTAAAGCTGTTTGCTATTCCCTATTGTATGCCTATTTCATATAAAACTATTTTCTTGAGAAAAAAACCTCAAAAACTTGCAACAAAATATTCCCTCTTTTTATTTTTCAGAATAAGAGTCAAGGATTGAGTTTTGTTCGGATACATGCACCATGGAATGTACTTAGCCGAGAAGCAGAGTTCCTTAAAATAAAAATGCCCACTAAAAAGGTAAAATTTTGTTAATTGGAAACTTGCTGAATGTTATAAAGAGAATGAATGCCAAAGAGTTAATTCTGATCTCAAGCCGGAAAAAGCAGCTGGAAAGAAGCAAGCAGGGAGGGCAGGAGGTAGTCTGGGAAAGACTCTAATGCTTCTACCCTGAATCTGTCCAAAGAATTACATAGTTCTCTACTCTCACACCCATTTTATTAGGAAATTGGCATAGGCCACATTTTTAACTTATGGGGAGTGCTGCCATAATAGTAATCACTTCCTTTCACCTGAAAATCTGTGTGACTTTAATGGCTTTGGTCATATTGAGAGGAAGAAGGCATGTTTCATTCACTAATGCTTTGCTTTCACTGGGATTAGCCAATGATTAAACCTAACAGAAATTAATTATCTGGAGAGGGATTTAAGGCTAAACACAACAAGCAGAAGCTTGTTGGTCACTGACTCCTCACCAGCCCCAGCCCTCCTTTTGGAATGTTTCTCTGGCATGTGGCATAGAAAGGCAATAGACAACTGTTGGAGCCAGTAGTGGAGAACTCTAGAAAAGCCTCTGTTCAGAGTTCAAACAACATGATGAAACACTCTCAAGGACTGAGTGTGTGTTGCTGAAATATGGGTAATTATGTTGTCTGAACCCAGCTGCATTAATTAGCCAAGGCTTGTTAACCTTGACCAATCCAAGAAGAGATGTGTTCTTGGATTATGAAATGTAGTTGTCTTGGCTGGGTTCAGAAAACACATTAATGCATGTTTCAACAATAACCCATGGTTCAATGGCAACTCACACTTAACCCTTACTTGAGGGTGGGTTATTATGCTGTCTGACTGTGGTGGTGGGAGAAGGAGAGTCAGACTAGCTCAAGGCATTTTGCTGGGTGAAGTGGAATAGCTAATAGGCTCCTACCATAGTCCCAGCTGCACAGTGCTTTTCTTATTATTATTTAGATATTTTTTATTTAAAAAGAAGTTGGGTCCACTGGGTGGAAATACAAATTTTTTAAATGGTAGAAGAACTTTGATTTTCCTAGTATCGTTTGCCTTCTCTTGAATTCATTATATTGAAGTTATTGAATTTTGTCTCAATGCAAGTAATGTTTTTAATTGTAATCTCAAAGGATTCTGGTAATTAAGATATTCTCAATAGCCATCCATGTAAATATCATCTCAAATCCCTCAAAGAAAGCCTATCTGTGCCTGTTTACAACTGTAAATGCACAGTAGGTGTGAAAGGAGTTTGTGTGGTTTCCCTCACAGGCCATACATATTATGCTGAAGAGATCAAAAAGGGGAAATCAAAGTAAAATAAGGAGAAGACTATTACTAAAGAGGGTGGTTTAAAAGAGTTGCTCAGACTAAGTGCTGGAGGAAGTCAGAGACTAGCTGTGGGGTCAATGGAGGAAATGGGTCTGGGACAGTTGACCACATTGAAAGACTAAGCTTTCTAGTCTTATCTTTTAATTAGCTATCTCAGGTTGGTAAACCTGGCTGTTTTTAATACCATGATGTGGCTTGGGTTGATAAAGGATTAAGCACAGAGTTTCACCAGCCAGTAGTATTCAGCTCTTCCCCACACACTCTTTCTCACCTTTCGGACATAGTGTGAGAGATGTGAGATACCCTACTGGCTCCCCCCACATGCAAGCTTGTAGTTGTATTGAATAGGAGGTCAGCTCAATGTCATTATTCAGCCAGGCACCAGTTTTTCTGGGACTGGAGTGTACCAGGTTTCCATCCAACTTGAGGAAATCCAGCTAGGTTGGACACTCCAAAGATGCTAGGCAGTTGACAGCAACACCATGCCAGCAGGTGGAACAGCAACAGCAGAAACAAAGTGTGTGTGTACGTGAGTGCTTGTGTATGCACCTATATGCTTGTTCTGCTGCTCTGTCTCATCTGTCACCTTGTGGTAGGGTCAGTCATGGCAGGAGGTCTGAGAAAGTCAGCAGATATTTTGACTTCTGAGAAAGTCAGAGGGGAATGCCTATATGTAGCTCTTTACCCTCCTTGGTAAATTTGAAATATAGCATATATTAGAAACAAATGCCAAAAGGATTATAGGTTTAGAACGCTCGCTTACTAAAGATCATGAGTTCTCCTAAGAATGGAATACTTTTCTGGCTTGAAACTGCTGACTAATCACTTTGACTAGAATAATTACATTTATTATAACAGTAAGCATGGATGAAAAGTTAAGAGATAACTAATCAACATAAAGCTTGATTAGTTCCATTTGCTTTGACAATATGTAGATGTGTACCACAGACTTAACTTTAATCACTTTCCTCTTCCAAGGAAATGCCACATATAGCTTTCTGACCACACATCTTTCACATGAGGTCATTAGCACTCTTACGAAAGTACAGCTCCCAGTTTCTTTTTGGTGGGGGTGGGGGGTACCCTTGAGTGTCTGTGTCTCTCTGTGTTGGTTGATCAGTCTATCTGACACATGTACACATGCTAGTGTGAATTTAAATCCAAGAGTGTTGTAAATCAATCTTCTGGATGGTCTTCTGTTTGAAACTGGAAACTAGGAACTATTTCTGACTAGTGCAAAACCCTCTTAATTACAAGTAATATTCATTTATCTAGCAAAATAAATTGTATCTGAGTTGCAGGACCTCAGTTCTGCTCTTTGACCCAGCACTGCTCAAGTGGCCTTGATGACTAAAAGTACCTTTCACTAGCTTAGGGTAGTAGGCCAAAAGATTATTTTGGATACAGTAATTCATTCTTTATTAACCATCAGACTGGACTACTATAATGTCTGTATATAGCCCTGCCCTTAAAATGTATCCAAACATTTCAAGTTAGTGCAAAGGCTGCTGTCTGAGTCTGTTTGGTTTGAACATATTACTCTAGTTTGTTCACCCTATACTGGCTACTTATTTGATTCTAGGTTCAATTTCAGGTTCTGGTTCTTACCTTTACAGTCCAAAACAGCTTGGGTGTCTTAAGGTCCACTTTCTTCCATAAACACTGCTTTCATGATCTGGTCAATATCTGAGGTCCTCATATGTTATTCACTGAAGCAGTTATGAGGATTCATCATGGTGTCCAATCTATGGAAAGCATTCCTCTACCTAGCCCTCCTGTTGTATGCTTTATATACCTGAAAAAGATGTTGGTTAGGCTTTGCTAGGGATGTGTGAGGAATCTGTTTGAGGGTAGAAAAGTTTCAGATTCCCTGTGCTTACATCCCCAGATTCTAGTTGCTTTGCAGCAGTCCTGTGAGCACATCCAAGATTCATAGGGAATTGAGTCCCATGTGCTGTGCAAGCAATGTTGCTCTTCTGTGCCTTCTGCAGGCTCCATTTAGAATGCTGCACCTGATGTGGAAGATAGTTGATTGTTTGCGGCTTACCAGAAATTCTTGTAAGCCGTCCAGAGACCTGCAATGTGTTGGACAGGGTAAAGATACCCAAACAAACAAACAAACAAACAAAACAGAGCCTCATGTGATTGATAGCAGTGTCCCTCTTCCATGCCACATCCAGGTACATCAGAATTGGTTGCTGTATCTGACACAGAAAAGTGTTGGCAGTTGTGTGACCTTCATTCCATGAATATTCACAGGCTTCCTCTTGGCTCAACTAACTGTGTAATGCCAGGACAAGCATTAGAGGAAGTCTATGAATGCTAGAAAGAAACAGTAGATTGTGCTATGGTTGATCCTGGTCCTGGATTCTGCCAGTTGTGGGTTCTACAGATTATAATGGATCTATGCTAGGGGTCCCCAACCTTTTAGGACGTGTGGGCACATGTGGGAATCTGAGGAACTGCTCTGGGCACCATTCCAAAATGGATCCTATGGAAGATGACTCATCATATATAAAATCTGCCACTGGAGTCCGCATAGAGTGGCAGCAGGCAGAAAAATAGAGAGAGTGCAGGCTGGAAGGGACAGGTTCTGACTATATTAACCTTTTTCCTTTTGCACCCCCCTCTACTCCTAGCCTTACTATTTCCTTCCTCCAATGCCTTTCCTCTCTAGTTCTCCCCCTTCCCCATCTTGAATTTTCTTCACTTTCTCCCTTCCTGGGCCATAATCTCACTCTTTCTTTCTCATTTACTTTTTATCTTGCTGTTCCTTCTATACCCAGTTTCTAGTTTCACTCTTTCTCTCTGCTCTCCTCTTTGCCTTGCTTTCTAATCCTGCCTGCTGAACAGCTGATAAGAGGCAGGTTAGAGAACAGAAAGGAGAACTTGGTACCCTAACTTTTTCCAATGTTTATTAATGTTTTTGAATTTTGGCAAGTAATGAAGAGTTGTGCAGGTACACTTGGAAGTATTCATGGTTGTCATTGTGCTCATGGACCTCAATTTGTGCCCTCTTATTAATTCTTGTACTTTATTTTTATGATTATGCTTCTGCTTGTTGTTCTGATAGGACCGTCCCTGCTTTATTATCTGATGCTGTACAATGTGTGTAATGAATTGCATGAGGGCTGATAAATCCCAAATGGGGATGGATTTCACACACTTATTCATAAATATTAGTTCTGGTGTTTCCACAGGGTCTATTTCAACATTGTAGAAGAACCTCTCAGGAAGTTGTATTTCTCTCTAAAGATGACTTCATTTTCCTGGAAACATAGAAACTTTGGGGGGAAAAACAGAGTCAGAAGGGGCCTCCTGGACCATCTAAACTTACCTCTGAGTCCAGCCAGCTTCTACTCATGTAATCCCCAACAGTTCCAGGAACTGGAACCTAGTAACTCTACAATTGTTATACTTAGTGCAGACTTGACCAGGTTTCTTGAGAATACATCCTGGTGGTGCTAAAGTAACATTATATGTATATTCAAAGAATATTTTAGAAGTCACTTATTCATACACAGTCTGTTTGTTTATTTAGACATATGAAATAAAAGAAGAAGGAGGGATTGTCAAGAAGTTATCTAAGATATGGCACAAACTTACTGAACCATTGCAGCCTAAAGTGCCACAGCAAAACAGCACCAGAATGAAGAATTTGTCTTACCCCTTTGCCAGAGAAAAAATTTATTTGTGAGTACTTAATAAGTTCATGGTATATAATCCAATGAAAAATGCTGTGATTTAGATTCTGCAGAGTTCCCTGTTCTCGATCAACCTCCTAGATTTCAGTGAACAAGTAAAAGAGTCACTCATCAGAATGCTCCACGTACCAGCATGGTGTTAGGGAAATAGTTTTGGTCACTTTAGCAGCAAGACCCAGGAATTGTGCTCTCTGTACCAGTGGAAGGAACCAATGGCTTCAATTCTTTTCCACTTCAGTGTCATCTTTGTGCATGGATATGTTTGTGTATTGTAACTACTGACTAAGGAAGTGACACAAAGGGCTCATATGGTCCACCTGGTCCTATTGAACATACAATGCTTTGTTGAACAACTGGTCCATCTAGCTAAGTATTGTGTAATTTGACTCAAAGTTTCAGCTGTAAACTTTCCTAATCATAGTACCTGATGCTGGGTATTGATCCTGAGACCTTATGTATGCAAAACCAATTCTAATAGCAAGAGTCCTCCATTCTTATAACGTTGGAGACCCTGGTCTACCTTTTCAGTCTTAACAGTATGGAATTCCTATTTATCATGTTTTGACTGTAACAATGACGATGCTTAAAGTTGATTTAGATATTAGGGTCTGATTACTTTATGTTGATGTGATGGTATAAGTGGTCAAAATAATCTCCCTCCTTTTCCCTTCTCCTTTTCTTTCAATGGAAATAAATGTTCCACGTACTTTGCTGGTTGTTGCTAGTCACGAAGTCACGTCACAACCCCATGGAAAACGTTCCTCCAGGCCTTCCTGTCCTCCAACATCCCCCAGAGTTAACTTAAGCTCACACCAACTGCTTCATTGACTCCATCTAGCCACCTCATCCTCTGCCGTCCCCTTCTTTTGCCCTCAATTGTTCACAGCATTGGGGTCTTCTCCACTGAGTCCTTCCTTCTCATTAGGTGGCCAAAGTATTTGAGTTTCATCTTCAGTATCTGGCCTTCGAAAGAGTAGTTAGGGTTGATCTCCTCTAAGACTAACTGGTTTGATCTCCTTGCAGTTCAAGGGACTCACAGGAGTCTTCTCCAGCACCACAATTCAAAGGTCTCAATTCTTCGGCACTCATACTTCCTAATGGTCCAGCTTTCACAGCCATACATTGCAGCTGGGAAAACCATAGCCTTGAGTATACACACTTTTGTTGGAAGGGTGATGCCTCTGCTTTTTTCTCCCCAGGAGCAAGCGTCTTTTAATTTCTTGGTTGCAGTCACTGTCTGTGGTCATCTTGGAGCCCAAATCCAAGTCCATTTCTTTCCCATCTATTTGCCCCATTGGAAATCCATTTCTTCCCCATCTCTTTGCCCGGAAGTGAGAGGACCGGATGCCATGATCTTAGTTTTCTTAATGTTGAGTTTCAAGCCAACTTTTGCGCTCTCCTCCTTCACCCGCATCAAGAGGCTCTTTAGTTCCTCTTCACTTTCTGCCATTAGAGTGGTATCATCTGCATATCTGAGGTTGTTGATATTTCTCCTGGCAATCTTAATTCCAACTTGCGATTCATCTAGCCCTGCCTTTCTCATGATGTGCTCTGCATAAATAGGCAGGGCGACAGTATATAGCCTTGCTGAACTCCTTTCTCAATTTTGAACCAATCAGTGGTTCCGTATCCAGTTCTCACTGTTGCTTCTTGACCTGCTTATAGGTTTCTCAAGAGACAAATAAGATGGTCAGGTACTCCCATCTCTTTAAGAACTTGCCACAATTTGTTGTGATCCACACAATCAAAGGCTTTAGCATAGTCAATGAAGCAGAAGTAGATGCTTTTCTGGAACTTCCTAGCTTTCTCCATGATCCAGTGTATGTTGGCAATTTGATCTCTAGTTCCTCTGAAGACAAATAAGGGACTCCCCCACCCTCACATCACAGAGAACCTTTGAGCATATCTTCTTTGCTCCTAGAATTTTAGTTAACTTTAATCCGGTTTTCTGTTTGTGGTATTTGTTGTGTTGTTGTATTAGTATAGTTTTCCTTTGCTGATAAGTTTTGGTTAAAAAAAGCATCAAGACCTAGATGAAATCCTAGACTTTCCTCCTCAGTGCCAGGAATAGTAAAATTAGAAGATGTTGAGGAAATACAGTTGAAGCCTCACAGTTTGGAAACTCCTCAAGCTGAATGATTCTATTGAAGATAAGCCCTGAGTATCTAAAAGAAGCAAAATCAAAGAGATCTCTTGGTGCTAGGCATAAAAGGTTTCTGGGTATATCTGACTGCTGCTTGTGTACAGCTTCAAATAAACTCATTCCTCTTCATCTTTCACCTTCAGCTCCTATTCAGTGACCAGCACTGGACCTTCCTTTCTCCAGGGTTGCCTCTCCAGCAGGTGATCCTACAGTTTGCCTATTTTCCCTTCTTAGATCTGCTTCACCATTGTTGTTGTTTCCTTAAACCAGTTAAACAAGGAAATACATAATAACATGAATGAAAGGACTTTATATATGCCTAAATTTCTGTTATTCCTCCATAGTTAAATTAATTCTTTAATGATGCAAAGCATTTTACCTTGCCCTTCAAATTGTTCTCCAAGCAGTGTGTTTCAGATGAAGCAGTTCCTGGCTGCAGGCTTACAGTATAAAAGATTTTACACAAATCTCACAATGGAAGGATGAGTGAGGAGAAAAATAATCAAACTCAGACACCCATCTTAATGTTACACAGGCATTTTTCATGACAAGCAGAGAGAGAAGGAACCAAACTGAGCTTGCCTCTTAGCAGAGCTGATAGAGTGGCCTGCTTCCTGTGCATCTCAATGGAATGGCTGCTGCCAAATGATAGCTGAGGAAGGGAGCAGTGTAGCAGTGCTAAACTAGTGGCCCTGCTTCCCATCTCTTCATCTGATGCAGCGTGCTTGCAATATGCAACCAAAACCTTCTTGTCACTTGTCTTTCTGCCCAAAATAAAGCTTGGCAGTTTTGATTAATGCGTAACCATTCTTATTATTGCCCTTATTCTCTGAAGAGGGCAAGTGTCCTCATTGCTTTGATGTTTGATTGAAAGGTTTTCATAGTAAACAGGCCATCAGTCACCTTTGCATGTTGTACTTCTGTTCATTTTTATTCATGCTAAATAGGTCAGCTAGGGGGAAGGAACTGCAAAGTCAATTTGGAAAATAGTCTAGGATAGCTTTGCTTATGGTTTTACCTCCTGGCTTCTGCCTGAGTTGGTGAGGTAGTTTTGTCAAGGCCTCATTAAGAGAGCCTTGTGTGATAAGTTCTTTGACACAAATGAAGTAGGGAAAAGCAGAGGGAGACTGGACTGGAAATGGAGGGTAGCTGGGCAGAAAAGCCCATAGGAGAATGTTTTTCATGTATAAAGTCCCAGTTTCAGAACAAGGAAAAGAATGAGGTGGTAGAATTCCGTGGTGCAAAAGCAGAGTTTATCACCTCTGATTGTAGAGTGTGGGGTGGGGACAGAGGAGGTGCCAATGTTTTAATAGCCATTCCCATAAAAAAGTGACCCCCCCCCCATCTGTGCATGTAAACAAACCATCACAAGAGCGATTGATTTTAACCTGTTTCCTATCATGCTTATTTCCAGTTTGAAGATCCAGCCTATTTCAGGATGTGCAAGTTTTAGTCATTAATATTTATAATAATTATTATTTATATAATTTATATTGCAGGGTGATTTGAGGTTTCTGTGTGTTGTGTTTTACAAGCTGAAATTATAACTTCAGTGCAACCATACGAACGTAATGCAGTTTGCATCATTACCTCATTCCATTGCATGTACAGATCAGCTGAAGGAGATGGCAAGCATAATTTTTCTAGACTTAGTACAAACTCATAGCACTTCCATGTTCCTGAAGGCCTTGTCTGATGGGAAAAATAAAGGATTGTTTGCTTCCATTTTTATTTCCAAATAAGAAACTGGACATCCATCTGAGTGGGATGGTGTAACTGGGTGTCCGGCGACAGCAGGGAGTTGGATCCGATGGCCTTCATGGCCCCTTACAACTCTACTCTTCTATGATTCTGTGTTACTTCCATTCCTGACAGCCTGTTTTGTATTTAGACTCTATTTTATAAACAGAGGATATTATGGAGCACCTCTATACTCAGTGGCTACCAGTGGTGTGGTGCCATTTGCACAGATTTGGGCTACAGAAACAAGTAGCTGCTTGGAGAAATCCTCACAAAACAACAAGCTAATTCAGAGATGTCACCCCTGGAAAGCAACAGTGCACTAGGAAACAGCACCCTGAAGCACATTAGGTTATAAGTGTGCACCATTTTACTTTCGATTGTTTTCACCAGCATGGGAATAATAGTGACCTTGACTAATCAGACTGTGGAGCTGCACAGCCAGCAGGCATGCAGAAGTAGTATGAAGGTGGGTCAATCTCTTGTGCCACTAGAGTGCTTTCACTGACCCTCTACCTCAAAAGATTATAACTGATAGGTTGAGGTTCCTGCCACTCTTACACTGGGAGTATATATTTAAATTAAATACCATACATTTGCAGCCTCGGTAGCCTCGGTAGCCTCGGCAGCCTCATAGAAACAGAACGAGTCAGAAGGGGCCTCCCGGGCCATCTAATCTGAGCCCTGGCTCCAGCCAGCTCCACCCACGACATGCCAACCATGGGCATGTCCAGCCTATCTTTGAACACCCTCACCGATGGGGCCTCAATGACCTCCCGTGGAAGCCCATTCCATACCCTTGGGGTCCTAACTGTCAGGAAGCGCTTCCTGACATCCAAATGGTACCTTGGTTCCCTGAGTTTTGCTCCACTGGAGCGCGTCCTGCCTTCCTCTGCAGGGGAGAACAGGTCTCTACCCATCTCCATGTGACAGCCCCTCACATACCTGTATGTCGCCTACATATCCCCTCTGAATCTCCTCTTCTCCAGGCTGAAGAGACCCAGCTCCCTCGGTCTCACCTCATACGGCATCCCCTACAAACCGGCCACCAACTTTGTGGCCCTATGCTGCACTGACTCTAACCTGGCTATATACTTCCTGTAATG